AACCCTATGAGTGCATGTAGTATTTCTGCTTTGGTGTGAAACACTTCCTATCTATTCACATGTATTTGCCAAGGTTAATAATGTGAGTTGCCAACAAATAATATAATGATTTGTTATGCTAGGTGAGAGTTTTTATTCCTTGATCACTGCCCTCTCAACAGGAGAATTTATTCTGCCCACTTTTATCAAGGCTGAGACTGCATTCTAATTCCAAGGATAAACCTCTCGGTCAATTTTTTCAAGCTAATTAATAGCTTTACATAATTCTAAATTTTTTTAGTGTTGATAGTGTAAAGAGCTACAGCTTAATTTTGACATCCCAGGCTTAATTGTCTTTGTTGATAAACTCTACAAACCAATTAGCTGGTCTGTGTTCCCAGTTAGCTCATCAGAGCAACTGTCACTTATTCAGTTTCATATAAATATCTACTTCTTTAGTGATTTAGATCCCTCACCAGTTGTAATTAATATACAATCTCTTTCATAAATGCCTACATTTTACTTCTCCCAGGGGCTTAATATATTATTTATACAATTCCTTGGTAGTTTTTATTATTAAATAATGAATAGATAGATCAATTTCTTTATTTTAAAAGATAATTTAGAATGATTCTGTGAGAGGTAGAGTAGGAAAAATCATTCCATGTACAGAGAGAGGGAAGCCTGTCCTAGCTAACCATCAAGCAGTGTGAGTAGCAGCAGCTGAAAGTCAGTTCACTCTTGCCTGGTCCTCTCAGGAAAGCAGAGAGGCAGAAAGGGGAACTGGTGAAAACGGACAAATAATAAAACATACACGTTAATGAATAAGAGAAACTGAGCCAGAAGTAACCATAGAAACAGGTCAGTTCTGTATTCATTAGTAGTGGGGATTGAGATGTCAGGATCCATGTGTGCATGTGTGCAGAGAAAGCTCTTGTTGCACGACGCACTGCTGTAGGAAACAAGGTACTATAACTGGGGGAGGAGCAGAAAGGCATGAAAAGCTACTGTTATAGTCCAGTACTTAGACTGGGCTACCCTGGAGCTTTGTATTGTGTCAAAAATAAGGGCAGAACTGAGTGTTGCCATGGCTGATGCAGAAGAAATTCATGACAGTCCATGTTATTTGTGAATAATATTTATTGAATGTTACATATCTGCATTTCTGTACCTGTTTTACAATACTAAAAATATTCGATTGGCTGAGTCTGTGTTTCCCAACACAGCTGCTGAGAGCAAGTTTTCTGTCTTGACACTGGTTGCCTCAACCACAGCAGCAGAACTGAGGACAGGCTGCAGGTGCCCCAGGCATGTAGAGCACAGAAGGTGGTTAACACTCAGCCATGAGACTGCAATTTTGAGGCTGCTGTGCTGCCTTGCTCTCAGTAAAGGCAGCCCTTCGTCGTCTCTCTTCTCTCTCACTCCAGTTGAAATTCATTGTAGGCAACTTTGTGTCCTTCTTGCCATTGTGTTTATGCATGTCAGAGCATAAAAAAAGAGAAAAGAACTTTGATTTCTCTCCTCTCTCTGGCATGCAGACAAGGAGAACTCTGCTCCTTGCTGACGGAAAACAGAAGGCACAAGTTGGGAATTACTGCCGAATTTACCTCCTTTCTATCCTTTTTTCACAGGGAACTTGGGTAATCTCAGATGAGCATGACTGTGCCCCACACCCTACGTCCTGTTAGGAAAAGCCTTGCTGGCCTCTGTGCACACATCCCAAACGAGGCCACAGATGCGAGCTGAAGAACCACATCTTCTCCATTTGTCCTGACCGAGTAGCCATATTTGCGACATTCCAAAGTTCAAGACTGTTAAGACGTTATGCTTCCAGAAACAGAATTATGTGTGTGGTTATAAAGACGCTCTTGTCCTATAATCAGTCACACAAACTAATTAAAAGTAGTGTCACTAAGGTTTGTGGGTAGAAAAACAAACATAACCCTCCTGGGAGAGGCATAGACGTTCCAATATTTTCCAATGTGCAGCCCCCTGTTAGATGTGCAGCAGAAATACCCATCTCTCAGTAGAATGCACAACACGTAGCAGAAATACAAAGCTATAAGTAGAAGGAATTTGTTGTTCAGGTCTATGAAGCCCCAGTAGTGTTTCTGCAAGCTTAGGAACCCTTTCAGTCATCAGTCATCCCGCTTTCGGGCTCTTACTGACTCTTAGAGAGCTGTCAAGATGTCACGAGCTGATCCTTTCTGCTTGGAGCACAGAGACACACTTTCCTGCTGGCGAAGCTGCGATCGTCTGCCTATTTCTCACCACAACCTCCTCCACTTTTAGTGCATCAATAAACCCTGTACACTTGTAATTGGAATCAGGCTTGAAAAAAAGAAAACCGAAACCTCCGAATGCAGCTTTTCGCTCTGCTTGGTTTTTACGCATGATGGGAACGGAACTCCAGGCTTCACACAGCGAGGCAACTGAGCTTCTACTGAGCGACAGCCCCCGGCCAGAGCTTCCGTCCAGCCAGGCATCCTCACCTACACATTGAAGAACAGGACCGTCACCTGACTGAAAAGATGTGAAAAAGACAGAGAAACACAAGGAGAAATAAAGTGTAAATTAACATAGCAAATTAATAACAAATTACATGTATCTGCATAGGGTTATGTACATATATTTTTTTTTATTAGATCAAGGTTTAAGTACTCGGGAGACTGAGGCAGGAGGATTGCCATGAGTCTGGGCTAAACAGTGAGTTCAAGTCCAGCCTGAACTTCCCAGTAAGATCCTGTCTCATAAAACAAACAAAACAAAAATTTGTTTTTACCCGTATTTTAAATTTTTATTTAATATTTTAATTTGTGCCTTCTCTTACTTTTGACCAACTATTTTAGGGAGTTCATCTAATTTTTTCATGAACCAAATTTTTGTTTTCACATTTATCGATGCCATTTTCATTCTTTTCTTGGATTTGCTTTTTCTCTGAATTTCTTGAATTCCATGCTTACTTAATATTGGGGGGGTTCGTTAATGAATGTGATAGAAAACAACATATTTTAACATCATTACCTTTATCAATGTTAGCTTGTCAGTAGAACAAAGCAGCACGTCTCCAACACATTTTCATCTCAAAAAGAGAGAATAAGCAGTCTGAAGTTGGGGTTGTGTTTTTGTGCATATTTCCTGCCTTCCCAGGTTGCCATCCATTTTCACCCTGGGGAGATCACACAGGTGCAGCCCCTCCATCCCTGTCTGTGCCTCTCAGAACATTGTCCTACACAGCTGCTTCTCACCACCTCAGGCTGGGCAGGGTTAGCCTGCTGTTCTTTCTGTCTCTAGCAGCTGACAAGTGATTCATGTCATCTGTCACAAGAATGATCTTGGATCTTATAATTTTTTGGAAGGGAAACAATCTGTGATCTGTTCTAGACTATGTTTTGGTGAACTGCTAAGCTACAACTGTAAGATCTAGGATCACTGCGGCAACTGAGGGAGGTGAGTGCTGACTATGGGAAATAAAGAACCATGGCTCCGTGCTGGCAGAGCTATGAATGTTCATGCCCGCGGGGATAGAGGAGCACATTACAGGAGCACAGCAGAGTCTCGCCTCCCACCCGTCTTGAAATGGAGGAAACATTGGGATAACGGGCGGTATCTTCAGTGGGGGTCTGTGATCGCAGATGCCTCATGCCTTAAACTTTGACATGGATTAGGGAAAGGAGAAGACAGAAAGCATTTTCGGGAATTCATCATTCAACACAGAAGCAATCCCAGGGTCACCTAAAGAGGAAGGGACGGGAAGAAAGAGGGCGCTCTCCTCATGACCCTAGTCTCCGTTGCCCCATACTTCTTTCCTTGGGAGCTTGTGTGTTCTCTGCCGTGCCTACAGACACAGAGCCGCAGCACAAAACAGGACATTTGTGGACGCTCAGTCTCTACCTTCTCCTACTATCTCCTACATCTGGCTCAGATTTTTGCTTCTGCATATCTCTGAGACTTTCTACAGGATTCTTTTTGCCCTGACTTCATCGATCTGTCTGTAGCATTATGTGATGCACATCAATTCTATTCTAATTCTCATATTAACATCTGTTAGGAAAGAGCCTGCTGTTATAAACGGTGACAGAGGAAAAAGAAGAGTCATCTGAAGCTGTTGTTGACTCAGTTTTAATGGAAGAAAGCCCACAAAGTATAGGAATAAGCTGCCAGTGTTACTTTTATTT